GAGTTTACATTTGTACAAGAGATGTTCATTGTCTTCAACAACCATAATATTCACAATAAGGTTCTACATCTTTGTTCCATTTACTTACATTTAGATTGTTATTCAATATGCAATTCAGTAATTTATAATTGAATTCAGCAACATTTTTTTCATACATATACTTAATTTTAGCTAGATATACATTTTTCCAGATATATTTGTAACTTAGACCGAAAGTCTTTTGCCACATATTTTCATAAACTGATCTTTAAATTCAATGTTTACCAAAATTGAATAATAAAAATCACATTTAAGATTTTCTAGAGTTCAAGTACGCTATTATCTCTAAATAAAAATGACACTTCGTTTTTAATATTAACAAATTTGGCATATGTACAATCAAAATTGTTTTTGTATTCCCTGAGTACTTTTTTTATCATGATATATTCACAGAATATATTGTTTTTCTTTTCCAGTATGTTGTAAAAGTGTTCAATATTAAGGAAGTTTCCATCATTATCAAAAAGATCTTTGATATACAGAATATTACTTTTTATCCAGTTTTCAAAACAAAGAGGTTTAGAATCATACTGAAACAAATTATTGTTCCAAATGAATTCCGATAAAAATTGGTCTCTCTTTAAAGTACAAATTTGTTTAACTTTTTTTACATCTATTGCAGCGGTGTGTGGGGATATGAAACATCGCACAAAATAGATATGGTACAGGATCGGGCTCAACGATACTTCCTTGGGGTTCACCGATTAACACCTTTCTTGGCTGTACGTGGTGAGTGTGGATGGTCAGCTGCCAGTCTACGACACACGTAAACGTAATTCGTAGAAAAATGAGGAAAAGAAATAGAATACATCATAAAGCGAAACAAACAGATAATCCTAATCACTGGCAAAAATTTAGAGAAATTCGTAATGAGGTAGTTAAATTAGTACGAAAAGCTCGAAATGATTATAAAGTGAAACTGGCCTCTCAACTTATCGATAAGACTATTCCTCCAGGTAAATGGTGGCGAATTGCTAAATCTGTCTCAAGATTTAAAAAACAAAATACTTCCCCTCCTCCACTGAAATCTAGAGATGGCAGGATATTCGTTCATCCAATTGATAAAGCAGAAGAATTTAATAATTATTTTGCAAATATTTCACACATAAACACTGAGCCTGATCTCCCTGAACATGGACCAGGTCCTCCAACTAATTGCTTTGATGATTTTGAAATTACTGAACAGGACGTTCTTGATCAATTATCAATCTTAGATACCTCTAAACCACCAGGGCCAGACGGGTTATCTCCAAGAATCCTAAAAGAAACACGATTCTCTATTTATAAACCATTAACAAAACTTTTTAACATGTCACTCAGTAAGAAATGTCTACCTTATGTATGGAAACAAGCACATGTTTCCCCAGTATTTAAAAATAAATGAAGCCCCGACAATGCTAATAATTATAGACCCATTTCTCTTACAAGTTCTGTCTGTAAAGTTATGGAGAAAATACATTTCAAGTATATGTACAATTATGTAAAAGACTACGAATTGATATCAAAAAATCAATCTGGGTTCCAACCAGGTGACTCTACAATAAATCAACTAGTCGAAATATATGATAAAATTATGTCAAATCTTGATAAAGGCCGAGACTTAAGATTTATATTCTGTGATACTTCAAAGGCCTTTGACAGGGTCTGGCATAAAGGACTTATTTTTAAACTTAAAAACTTAGGCTTCAAAAATAATATTTTGGGATGGATTAAAGACTACCTTACTCACAGACAACAAAAAGTAAATGTAGAAGGCTTTTCCTCACCTTTAAAACTGTTGATGCAGGAGTACCCCAGGGGTCTGTGCTAGGCCCATTTTTATTCTTATTATACATTAATGATATTACTGAAGGCATACATAATGAAATTAGATTATTCGCGGATGATACATCATTGTTTGCAATAGTGGACACTGATATTAATACTGCTACTTCATCTCTTAGAACCGATCTTGATAAAATAAAGAAATGGTCGAACTCTTGGGCAGTAGACTTCAATGCTGATAAAACAAAAAATGTTAATTTTACAAGAAAGCAACGACTCTTCCCAGACATTCATTTTGGTGAAAGCGGAAAAATTATTGAACAATCTAAAAGTCATACACATCTAGGACTTCTTTTCCAATCCGATGGTAGCTGGAATAATCATATTTCTGCTATTTACGAAAAAGCTTGTAAGAGATTAAATATCTTAAGACTATTTAAACACACATTAGATAGAAATTCTTTAATTAAGATATATCTAGCGTTCATTAGACCGGTCCTTGAATATGCTGATGTAGTATGGGATAATGGTATGCGTCAACTTTAATATGTAATTAATTAAAACCCTAACTGAATAACTTTTAGCAATATATCTTTATAAAATCAAAAACCATTGGTTGACTCATATGAAATATTTTTAACATAAGTTTGACTTAGCTAAGACCTCGCTTAGTTCGCTTTATGTTACGGTTTAAGACATACTTAAGTAGTACTTAGACAGGTCCTAAGATTGTGCCTAAAACGTACTTACGACCCTACTTAAGTCAAAAACTTAGCAAGCTTTATGTTACGAGCCCCAGATGGTAATAATCTTTCTTTACCATTATGTCGAACTGTATCATACTATGAAAGTTTTATTCCTTCAACCATAAAACTGTGGAATAATCTTAGTTCTGATGTGAGAATGTCACCTTCTTTATCAATTTTCAAGTCAAAAATAAACCAACCTTTTAGCAGTTGTAAATACTTCAACTATGGTAGCAGAAATGAGAATATACTTCACTGTCAACTACGTAATAAAGCTAGTAATCTTAATGCACACCTAAAAAATCATTATATAATAGCCGATGCATCTTGTCCGAAGTGTAATTACCATACAGAAGATAATGAACACTTTTTTATGGATTGTCCAGCATATAGCATTCAAAGAAACAAACTAAGAAAAAACTTCAATGAGCTTGATGTACCTTATGATCTAAAAATTCTTTTACAAGGGAGTTCAGAGTATTCGTTCCAAACGAACCTCAATATTATAAAAAATGTACATGAATATATCAAGTTAACAAAACGTTTATAAGCGTATTCTTCTTTTTTTATATGCATTTTTGTCATTTTATACATGTTTATATTTGTTATGCTTATTTTGATCTGGATCTGTGCGAGTCAGGGTGTGGTTGCGTGTGTGAGGGTGTGTGTGAATGCGTATGTGAGCACTCATATCTAAATATGCATTGTTAATATATACTCTGTTCATTGTATTGTAACCTTGACCTGTTGTATAGAGAGGGTATCTATAGGCTTAAGCCTGTTGCCCAATCTATTCAGTTTACTGAATAAATATTGTTTAAAAAACGACACAAAACTAACATGGTGCGACTATGGAATAAACTGATCCTCATGGATGACGATAGGATTACAAAGAAAATATTTATGGCGTCTTGTAATGAAAATAATTCCCGAAGCTGGTATCATCATATGAAAATTCTCTTTGAAAACACAGATTTAAACCACATTTTTCAGAACATGCAGTTTTGCAATACCCATATTTTTATTCAGAAACAGATTTCAAATCAACAATCCAAATGGCAATCGGATATTCAAAAATCAGCAAAATTACGGACGTACTGCATTATTAGGGAAGAATACGGTCTTGAACAATACGTTGCTATGGACTTGCCGAAACCAGTTAGGTCTACAATGGCGCAATTCCGGTGCGGGGTGCTCCCTCTGCGTATCGAGACTGGTCGCTACCGCGGAGAGCCAATTCCAGATAGAATATGTAATCTCTGTGATTTGAACGAAGTAGAGGATGAACTTCACTTTCTTTTTAAATGTGATCTATATAAATTCTGTAGACAGGACTTTCTAGGAAATATTGGAATTTCAAATTTACAATATAATGATTTAAATGTTCTCTTTAAATATCTGTTAACTCACTTCCCTCGTAAATCTGCAAATCTGCGGTGACAGGCTAGCTGCTTTCGTTTTTGTTCGCTGCAGAAAGGCTGATATAAAAGTTCTAGATAAATAATAAGAGCTCGAAAGTATGGCAAATGCATTTAGTTTTAACTCAGAAATCAGTCATAATGATCGCTGCTCAAATAAAATTATAATGATTATTAAATCAAACTGTAGTAGTTTCTCCAATTGCGGGTCACGCAATCTCGTGGCATGAACATGTCAAAATTCTATGTGCAAAACCAATCGACAACCATGTATTTACCTTGATTATCCAAAGTATTCTACCTGGAAAATATTTTCTCTAAAAAATAAAATCGAGTTAACCCTTCAAATGCATTTTTTGATAAATGAATTTTATTGTATTATTTTTAATCCTAATGCATTTTTTTTAATTCTTATTTACTTCAATTCGTTTTTTTTTTTTTTTTTTTGTAATTGTTTTAAAAAATTTTTAAACATATTTCTGTGGTTGTTTTACTTTTTTCCAAGCTACATGAATTGTTTTATATTTTAACATCATAAAAATCGTGTTCCGAAACATTCCAGGAATATTACACGACCGTGAAGTCACATGACCCGGAAATGGAGAAAATGAATTCGTAACTGGGGAAGCTAGGCCTTGCTGCAATACCCATGTAAATATTGTTTCCGTGTAGCTACTTTGAAATCGAAAAGGTGTTTGGATGACTCACTATTTGTTCTTTCAATACATATATTGCATAAAATGTAAATTGAACAGATTTGCAAAATATCAACCAAACACCCTGACGTGACCCGGAATTGGCGACTTAATTCACTGTATTTAAATGGATAACGAAATGTAACCAAAATTCGAATATAGGAGCATCACGTTTGCATTGTTTTCCTTAAACCTCTTCATTTTCATTTTTCCAAATTGAGCATATTGGTTTAAATGACGGCTGAAATGAATGCTAAATGTGTTTCATGTAGAAGAATAGACATTTCGTGAACGTGCTATCCGACTCAATTTGGGAAGAGTTAACTTTTATTGTTGTAATCACTGAAGTGGAAAATTAGAGAAGAGCTACTTTCACTTCATGATTGACCCAATTTCACGACGTTCGTACAGACTAAGTCAGTCGACTTCAGGCACCGTTATGGCTTGCTCCTCGGTTTGCTGCTTGCATTGTCGGAAAGAATTTCGACTGAAGAATTTTGGATTTGCAGACGTCCATCCTGCTCGTTTTGTCATGTTTCAGGTATGCTTAATTTACTTTCTTCAGTTTAGATCAGACTCGGATATCTGTCATCATGGTCATCAAGTCTCGTTAATATTTCAAGGCTCCGGGTCATAAGATGGAACACGTCAATTGCTATAATTACACGTGTTGTCTTGAGACCATAAAGGAGAAGACAGTTAATATAATAGTAAATCATATAGGCGCTTTCCATGCAATTCTGTAAATGACGAAAGATAAGTATATTAGGATTATAGGTCTACTGTTGATGTTATAGTATAGAGGGGGTAGGCCTATATATACTTATCTTTCGTCATTTACAGAATTACATGGGGATCGCCTATGTTATAAATGCTTTAATCTATGTTCATTACCAAGTGATAATTACAAAAATGAACGCTGGTGTCCTAGAAATCAAACTTTGCAATCTAGAGTGCATGCATTGCGTAATATCAATGCCTCAGACTTTAGGAACTGAGGAATGTAAATCTGCATATAACTTTTTTCACTAACAATAGACATGAGATGATCATAATCACTCACTGATCAGCTGATCTCTCATAATCACTGGTGGTTTGGGAGGAGTGCCCATCCCCCTTCTTTTGTGTCCAAAATATGTATAGAATTTAATCAATTTTTGGTGTGCCTGTTGGCTTTTACTATGTCCCCAAACTGCCCCCTCTTTCAGGATTCCTGGATCCACCACTGATGCTGACGATTCAGATTAGTTTGCAATGTTGCTAATGTAAATGTTACAGAAAAGGGACAAAATGTATATATCTGGAATAAAACTGGGAACCCCCACACCACTATTCTAGAGAGTTATGTAGGCCAATATCTGTAGCCTACACCTTTAGACTTAAATTATTATAAACTTCAAGAAAAGTAACAGTATATATCATGCTCCTTCAAATATTATGATCACCCCTTGTCTTTGTGTTAAATTTATATTAAATCAAAAAGGCTCTATGGCAATGGATATATTATTTCAAATATACATGTGATGTACCTCCAGTTGAAAATGAAAATGAAATATACATATTTTTATAATATAATAATAATTGTATATTTCTAAATTTTCAATGCATAGCGGATGATGAAAAACACAGGCAGTACTTTTGTGTATAACTAGAAAATATTTTATCGTGCATATATAAATATTATTTCCAGTGGCGGCTTCCCCCAATCCTCTATGTGGTGTACCGCATGGTCATGGCGGTGTATGCAGACTTCTGGCTAATCTACACGTCAACATCCTTCATTGGCTTTGGTACTGAAGACATGACCGACATTGACCCAGGAAATGCTTCCACACAGAATGGAACGAAGAATGGTACAGACTTCGTACTTTACCCATGGTATGCTTACTTGACTAACTGGACATACCTCTTGTTGAGCTTGTATCTGACATGGCATTTTTTCGTCACTGTGGCTTACCTTCTTCAGAACCCCATGCCTCTAAACAGTCGTCCAGATCCGAGTTTACACAGAAGAATTTTCTCCGAGCTGAATCCCTCTGGAAGCTTTTACAATACGTCTGACTATAACTCGGTTATGGCGACCTCCATGGATCCTGTGATAGGAAGTGATTCGATGGTTCTTCCGTGGTACTTCAAGCTCACCTGGGTGCTTTATAACATGGCAAATGTTGGGTCTCTGCTTGTCACTGTGGTTTTCTTTGTCTTCCTTTGGCCCATGTTCAACACATCCAATATTGGCTTGTTTAATCTGCAACTTCATGGAATAAACACGGTGCTCATAGGAATTGAACTCTTTCTCACCGCTATACCATATCGCCTGTACCACTACATATATACTTTAATGTATGGGTTGGCGTACCTTATTTTTTCAGCTATATTCTATGCAGCTGGAAATACAGATCCAATATATCGTGGTGTATTGGACTGGTCTAAACCAGGTCAAACAGCTGTTATTTGTTTACTTCTGGGCTTTGTTTTTATGCCCTTTTTGCAGGCTTTTTTCTTCTTCATATACAAGTTGAGACTTTTAATATACAAAGAAATTTCTAAAGATGTCATTGTGAATGAAAATGAAGATGCATTTTCTTCAGACATCAACAATATATGAATTTGATCAATATGTGTTGATTAAAGGCCATCTTTAAAATAATGTTTGCTAGCCATCTCCCTACTCAGAATGAAATTGGTAATTAGGTAGGTGGAAATTTTTTGTCAAAAATTAACCTATTTATTAATGGTACAAGAGGGGAGGAAAAAATTGTGTCCTTGACTGTAAAAACAGAATTTGAGTCGGGACATTTTTTAGACAGTGGATTGATGGGAGAGGGCAACCAAACAATTTTTAAAGAGGCCTAAATGAAATATTTTATTATTTTTGAACCAATATTTCATTGATTGCTGTATCTGAAACAGACACCCCTCTTTTAGGGGGCTGGGGCTGGGTTAAGAATACCAGAAACTGAGAGATACATTTCTTGTGTTATTTTGTCATTTGCTTGCCTTTAGTTTACCATTTGTTCACCATTTTCAACGTAAAATTGCTTAATTTTTTCTTACATGTACATAAGTTGATACTAGTCATAGAACATTTCAGATAGTGTAAATTGATGTTCATGTATATATATAAATTGCTGCTAACGCCTACTGTATTTAGTTTTGTAGAGAGTTTCCCATCCAGGATTCAGTGTTAGAATGAATTTTGTTATATACAGTAGAATTAGAAATTCAGTATACTTATTCTTAAAACACATATCTTTAACATGTTAAGCAAAGAAAAATATTTATGTTGATTTAATTATTTTATAATCAATATTTGCTAGAAATGAGCTGTAAACAATGAATTGGTTTTATATTTGCATCAAGCAAGATATACAAACTGAGCATAATGCTAATGCACATTTTACTCCTGCAATTACATTCGTTTAGCAGAAGCTAAAAGTGAAATATTTTGATAATGAGAGATACATATATGTATGTTATATGCTTTTTAAATTGATTCATGGTCTTTGAGCAATCAAGAATACATTTCATTTTTTTGTGGTAAATAAATTAGGCCATAATAAAAATATTCCTAGATTCTCATCCCCGCCCGCCCCGATTTTATACCCCCGCCTCGATTTTTTTTATTTCTGTTTTTCTTCGTCTCAATTCTGATCGGGATCGGTATTCATCTACCATTCTACTTTCGTTTTAAATCCCGCGAAAGTCGACATGATTTTGACAGCTGAAAAGATGGCAATATTGCTGTAATACATGCGTGTATATTTTAAACAAGGGTCATTGGTTGAAAAAGATTGGTGATTATGTGAAGTAAGAGATAATTGAACCTTTACTATGAATTTTATTCGGGTATTGTAGATAAAATTACACCGATTCACCAGGTCAATAAAAAATCTGTTAAATTAAAAAAAATATAAAATATAAAATAAAAGCCGCCCGCCCGCCTCGATTTTTAAAAAAATTCGGATGAGAATCTAGCAATTTATTTATTATGGCCTTAGTATAAGAAGTGTAAAAATTTGAATTGAGGTTATATTTATCTTGTCTGACTATTGATTTTCATATATTAATATGTTGAGAGTCTAAATATGAAGAATTTATAATTTTACTAAAACATTTTGGTATTGGGATTATGATACATTTCACCTGAACAGTTCTACATGTATGTATATATGTATAATGTAATACACGTATCAATTAAAATGTTGCCAAATACTAGTATTTCATTTCATATTTTTTTCATAGACATTACTTTAATATTTAAATCTTTACTACATGTATATTATAAAACAACTTTAAGAATATACAAATGTCAATAATTGTGATAAGAAATATGCTCAATTTCAAAATGTTTATTTCTAAAAGCATGCAGGGATTCTTGTTTATTATATTCTTTTTCTATAACATGTGTCAAATGAATTATATCATTTCTGAAGCATTTAGTTTTGTTACTTATATAATGTATATTATATGTTACAGGTACTTATTTATACATCAATAATTTTAACTATACATGATGTACATGAATATTTTATTAATCAAATGTTTAATCATTGTCTTTTATAAAAGTATCATATTCATATTTCATATTTAAATACATGTATGTTTATGTTATTATTCTGATAGTAATATATTTAGATAATAAACTTGAAAACAGTATTTTTGTGTCGTTCATATAAGGCTATACAGGTACATGTATGGATTATCTCTCTTTGTTCACTTTGCGATAAAATCAAAAAACTTGGCACTGCTGAAAAAGTGAAATACCTGCAGAGCTAGTAAAATGCTTTAAAAAAATACTAGTCGTATAGTTTGATAAAAGTGTACTTGGGATATCTCGGGTTTTAAATAAATAATACAATGTACAATTACAATGTAGAATTATAAAAAAAAAATGACGCAGTTAAAATAATAATATAATTTAATTAATTGAAAAATAAATGTTTCTTTCCCGGAAAATTTACCAGTATCCGCAATTTTTCTTTACAATATAGTTTATCATTGTGACGTCATAATTATGTAACGTCACAATAAACTACATTATACTGCGTCACAGTAGGTAAACCTCATTTTCGCGTTCATTGGTTTGGGAAACGGCAGCGGATTTTGTATCAGCGGCAAAATGACTAGATTCCATTTCTCAAACCGTCTGGTGAAGAAGTTTAAGAAGTCGGGCAAAAAGGGAGGAACAGCCGGTCCCGCCGATATTCCGTCAAACACTGCTGAGGCCGGTGTAATGGAAGAAGTAATGTCCAACTTGGTTCTGAAAAAAGCCGAGTCGGACACCAAGAACTCGTGTAGCAGTACAAGCAGCTGTAGCAGCTTTGATGTCGCCAGTGATATCACACAACACAGTGTGGAGAGGATATTCCAGGTACATATTAAATCTTTAGGTCTTTTTGTAAGTTTACAAGGGTATTGTCACTTTTGTATGCACTGTCATCCGGTAATTTCAGAATTTCCGAGATATCTAGTAAAAAGAGTTGGGAAAACTGAGCTGGGGGATTTTCCAAAAGTTGTGTGTATTTAATAAAAAAAAAATTATATTTAATGTAACGTTCTAAATCTGTCGTGTATCTGGACAACTGGCGTAATTTATGATGATCATTAGAAAGACCCTAGTTAAATATTTGTAAAAGATGGAAAAATAAATTTTAAAATTTTAGCTGAAACCGTGTCCATGCCCCTTTAATATACCTCTACCTATTTTAATTTTTTGTCGTAAAATTTCACTTGATCATAAATATTTTTTTTTTAAATTAATAGGATGCGTAAAATACAGAGTTAAAAATTAAGTTTTGTCAGCACGGCGAGAATGTTACCAACGTTGTTACATGTAGTCATCTATTGCCACGCAATGTTTGGTTCATCTGCATACACTGTATACGTACATAAACAAAATTAACCTTCCTTCATTAACTATTTACAAAGATCCATCAATAGTAGACAGGCTTTATCTCCCAAACCCCCCCCCCCCCCCCCCCCCCACCATCGACTAAAATTATTTTATTCTCCAGGAAGTGGACGGCCATCTGAGCGTGACGGAGACCCAGAAATACTCGGATGCCGTGGAGGCGCTCAGTGAGTCGGAACTGAACAAAAAGCTGGCGGAGGAACTGGATCAACTACAGCAGCTGCTGGAGGATGAAAAGAAGGGAGAGATCCACACTGACGTCAAAAACGTGGACCCCGAGGCCGAGATCCCCTGGGAGCAGACGCACAAACGCGTCCTCACCATGACGGTGGAAACCCGTGAGTAGAGAAAAAGTTGCATTATCATTCAGTTCAAAGTATATTCATTTATTGTAGCAATAAAAAAATTAGTAATCACATAGAAAATGTTTCTTGAGTCTTCTCACACCATGTTTAGTACATGTATACAAGCGGATCCATAAAATTTTACGAAAAAGTAAAATGGGGATGGGGATGGAGGTGGGTGGTTAATCACCTAATCACCTGATCGCTTAGGGAAATTCTTACTTGAAATTTATTTAATAAAAAATATTATCTTACGGGAACCTTTTGTTTTGGATGCTATATATGTACATATGTAGTTCCTAATCAGGAAACATTTTTATGTGCTCGTTTGTTAAACTTTAACTTTTACGCTTTAATTGTTAGAAAGGGGGTGGGATGGTAGGACCCCATTGACCTCCTCTGTTGCTAGATACATCAGAATAAACTATACATGTTTATTCATTTAGAGTTATGTAAATTATATTTTTGAAATATTAATTACATATATATGTACTATATATTTAAGAATCGGTTGTTAAATTAGGGTTTGCAACTTTAAAAATATTCAGAATAGAAATAGAAAAAAAAAATCAGAATAAGACATGGGTTCTTTATCCCCCCCCCCCCCCCCCCGGAAAAATTCATCTAATAGATATGGAACTAAAATTATGACGTATTTTATTTTCAGACAAGCACAAGCATGAGCACGATGAGCATCATCATCATAACCACGATCCAGTTCCTGTAAATAACCAGGTCCCCAGCAATCTGGCGACTACCCTCCCTAACCGAAAAATCCCCCTCCATAAAGAGTTCGCCTGCACCAACCTGGCCTGTACGGACCCTCACTGCTCTGACGTCATGTGTGGAACTAAAGTCACCGAGATCAAGAGCCACAACTCCGATCCCGATCTTTATTCCTCCAAGTATGCCCTGGATACAGCCGTGGCACACAGTAAGAAACAAACTATTTACAGTGTACACATACTAGTATATTTTGCAAAGAAGCATCTTAACGTCCATAGATCTGTGTACAATATCAGGAGTGGCAATTATAAGAAAGAAAAGTCTAGATCTAAATAAGTATTGGAAATGTAACAAATGTTTCTGAAATATGTAAAAGAAAATTAATATGTTTACAGTTGAATATTTTGAAGCTATTTTTTGTAAAATGATATTTTATATACAACTTCTTAGTAAAACACCTGCTTGGAAAATTATTCATATGATTTTGAGCAAATGTCTTATTCTAGATTAGCTGCAGAACTGTAGCTCTCCGAAAAAAAATAATTTGGCAGACCGGAGAGCTACAGTGCCACCCGTTGAAAAACTGTATATTTATTGCGCACAAAAAAGTGCGCTGTGTCTTGATTTATTTCTCCTTGTTTTTAAACTGTCATGTCAAAATATTACTAACCATCTGTTCCTAACATATGCTCTTTCACTGTTTCCTCAACAAAACATTCCTTATAATTGTTGTTAATAGCCCTCCTGGCCCTGGAATTAGGAAAAAAATTGTCTATTTATTCTGCCATTTTGGTTTGCAAGCTAATTCGGTCTAACGCACTTCTTGCGGATGTCAACTACGGAAGTACTTCATAGAGGAGTAAGGAATTTTTATAAATCTGTCTTTTTTCGATTGAGGTAAGAATTTGGAAGAATTAATTAATCCAGAACTAGCGCAACTTTTTGTGCACAATAAATATACAGTTTTTACAATGGGTGACACTGTAGCTCTCCGGTCTGTCAAAATATTTTTTTCGGAGAGCTACAATTCTGCAGCTAATTCTAGATTTACCATGAAGGTTTTTTTTTTTTAATTCAACATGTTCATGTTATTTGAATATAGAAAATTATGAATTTACATGTTTATTAACTAAAATTTAATGTCAAGATTTCTTTCCCTATTAAAGCTGATAAGACAGTGAAAAAAGTGTCTGAGCTTACTTCCCATGAAAAGGATCACTATTACGGCAAGCCGATCTTATTTGTCATGGACTCGAGGAACAAATTCCATCCTTTGACCCGAGAGAAGGATGCCCACAAGGTGGTTGATAATGCCAAAGGCTATCATCCAACCAAGGCTCAGGAATACGTCGTCAACGCGCTTCAAGAGAGCGAGGATGCCCATATTGCGGCCCATGATATCTGGACTGGCAAATTCATCCGCAACTGTCAGGAAGAGAACCTAATGACCGATGTCAACATCACCATCGGTGACGAACTCTTCACAGCCCACAGGATTATGCTTGCGCAATTTAGTACCTATTTCCAAGAACTATTTTGCATCTCGGAGCGTGACGGTGCCTTACCTTTCAATTTGCGATTAAGAGGAATCACTGCGGATGCATTTGAAGCCTTTTTGCACCTTGTGTACATGGGAGACTGCGAAATAACACCCGAAATTGTTATGGACGTTTCCATGATCGCCAAACGCTTTGGGGTCAAAGAGCTACGACAAAAGGTAGCGGATTATTTGAATTCCATGAGCACTGAAAATTGCTTGGAGATTCTCAAACAGGGAGTCGTATCTCAGAGTGACACAATGTACGAAGTGGCCTTTAAAACTGTAGTTAGATGCTTCAAAGAAGCTGCAAAGAATGTCAATTTCATGGAACTCCGCCTTGAAACGGTAGAAAAGATCCTCTCGTCAGATAATCTAGTGGTGCAAAACGAGACAGAAGTATTTAACGCTGCATACAAGTGGGTCAAATATGACCTCCGCAAGAGGGAGCAGTTCTTGTCAAGGGTCATGGAGTGTGTTCGATTCGCTCACATGGAGCACCCCGAGCTCTTCCTCATCTTCAGTGACACCGATCTCCTTCAGAAGAACGCTTACTGCAGGGATCTTTTATTGAAAGCTAACTGGTATGTAATTTTTCAGTTAACTTTGTTGACGGAAAGTTTTCATATCAAACAAAGAATTAAATGCCAAAGGGTCTTACTTATGCAAGAATTTTGTGCATTTGTTATGTGCTTCATTTGTAAATCGTTAGAATTTTATCTATATTACAAATTTTAATTTTTTACTTCCTATAGGATTGTGACTACCCGTATGTTGCACATTGTGGATCCTTTTGAGCTTCCGTGTCCAAAGAAGAGAGAACCAATCGGTCTCGATAAGGTACTAGACCTTTTCGATTCATAGTCTCTGATTACTTTGTTTGTAAAAACGTCAAAAATATCGATCGGGGATTTTTTAAAATTAAATTATATTAATTTAACAAACTTGTAAGTGGTTAAATCCTTTAAAAAATGCTTAGTGAAATAATGTATCCTTTTCAGACTCAGGTTTGTTGGATATAAAAAGTTAAGGAACTATACTCAAGCAATTATGAGAGGAGAATATTTTATTATACTAGAATAAGAAACATGCATTGTACATGTAGTTCCATTTTTATTTCATTTTAGCTTTAAAAAATCAAATAAGAAACCTAAAAACACAAAATTAATCCAACTAATTCCACTTATAATGGTCTGCTTCACTTTCTTTTACTAACTGATTTGTAAATGTATTTTATGTACCTTTATTTTAGAGCCCTGAACTTCAGATCATGAGTGGAGTGACCAAGGAAACGAAAAAATCAGAGGGAGTTAAACTGGAACCCGGGGACCTTCTAGCTTTTGGCGGATTCTTCTCGGGGTTGGATAAAACAAGGGCCATTGAAGGAGGTAATTTTTGAGATTACAATAAATAATTCGACATCTACAAATCTCAATGAGAACATCTCTTTAATGATAAATAAAATAAAATTATTACTTAATACCAATTTGTTTTTTTTTAAAGAAACGGTGAGTATCAAAATGAGTACAATTTCCTTCCTAAATTTGGATATTTCTTCCAGATGTTTTAAGTATTAAGACAATTAAAATAAGTGTTTTTTTTATTATGCAGGCAGGAATATGATGTTGTACAGTGTGTCCACTCGCACTTGGACAAAGTTAACAGAACTTTCAGAACCACGGGTTCACCATGCCGCTTGTGTCCTCAATGGAAAGATTTACATCTCCGGTAAGTACGAAAACCGAATTTCTACATGCTAATTAGTTAACTGAAATATGACTGAAAATTTACTGAAATATGACTGAATAACATAATTCTGCTATTCAGTCAACTTTCCAGTCGTTTCAGTTACAGTCCAGTTGACTTAAAGGTGAAATTTCATCCTACGAATTGTTCAGGCGAGATCCACTTATTTACTGTATGCTTATTAAAACCTTGTTTATTTAATGCACAGATGGGTGATCATATTGGACAATTTAGTCATTCTTATTTTCAATTTGTAGGCGGAAGTAACCCTAGACTGCAGATACAGAACCCCCGGGCTCTGTCTCAGTGCATCTGCTTTGATCCATACACAAGGAAGTGGTCCACTGTTGCACCACTGAGGTCAGCTAGACTCATGCACTGTATGGTGGCTCTGAATGGACGTCTGTATGTGATCGGGGGCCAGGACATTAATGATAGGTATCCAAGTTCTTTTTTTTCATATTTTCTAAATAGAGTTAATAATTTATTAAGTAAACATTATATGATGCCCAAATTATTTTTAAAATCGTACGTAATCAAAGTAGCGTTTGTGAAACACTTTAAAATTCCTTATAGATTGCTGAATACTATGGAATGCTACAACCCGGGCACGGATACATGGGTGTGGATGCCCACCTTTCAGGTCCCTCGCCTCGCCGCCGCCGCCGCGGTGAGCAACGGGAAGATTTATCTGGCCGGAGGATACACCGCGGACATTAAAACCAAATCTGGTTCTCCTATATCATCTGTACTAGAGTGCTTCGATCCGAAAACAAACAAGTGAGTAACTTTAACGGTCTCAGTCTTAAAAATTGATGGAGCGGTCATAATTCATGTTGCATATTTCTCTGGAACTTAGATAAAATGGAATTGAAGCATCATGCATTTGATAGTTATAAAACAATCTTGCAAATACCATATACATACACAAATGCTAGGCTGATGCTAGTTTAACTGTAGACCGAAGTTGTTGCCAGCGTATCTTCAGCTAAGTTGACCATAATTGTCTGTTTATTTTTATACATTTTAACTTCATGTATACGTAGAACTTAAAATACTGTGATTTCTCAATAAATTAATTTATTAATCTTTAATTATTGAAGTACATGAGAATTACATATTTTACTACAGATGGACCCGGTTAGGTGATATCCGTGTTCCGCGGTGTCACGCCGTGATGGTAGAGGTTCGCGGTGATCTGTTTCTGTGCGGTGGCGCCACTAGGACTCATGGTACCGATTTCACCACTGCCGCCAGTCTCCGAGATATTGACAAGTACAACAAGGAGTATGATAGGTGGGAGAAAGTGGCGGATCTTGATACCGAGAGACATGCATGCGGTGGGACTGCTGTCGGTAAGATGAAACGCAGGATGGATTCCATTTAATGACTGCATGTAATATTAAACGTGCATGTGTATGAATTTCAAATTCTTTACAAACTAAGGACCTGTAAATAGCCACGCATTTAAATTGAATTCATGTTATTAATCTAATAGATATGTAATATTATATAATACATAACAAAGACAATTTTAATCAACTTTATTTATAGTGGAGAAATAGAACACGTAATCGCATGTATTTCTGACTTTATAAGCGCCTTGATTTCTCGATCGACATTTTTTGTCCCCCGCTTGAAAAGTGGGGGATATTAATTTGGGTTTGTCCGTCCGTCCGTCCGTCCGTCTAGCTGTCCGTCCGTCCGTCCGTCTTTCTGTCTGTCTGTAACGCTTTCGTTTCCACACGATATCTCGAGAACCCTTTGAGCTTTTGCAATGAAATTTAGCATAGCAACTCCCTATGGACTAAAGAAGACCCCTATTGATTTTGAGGTCAAAAGGTCAAAGGTCAAGGTCATAAATAAGCAAATTCTGTCTGTTAAAACACTTTCGTTTCCACACGATATCTTTAGAACTATTTGAGCTATCGCAATGAAATTTTACATAACAACTCCCTGTGGCCTAAAGAAGACCCCTATTGATTTTGAGGTCAAAAGGTCAAAGTTCAAGGTCGTAAATTTATACATTCTCTCTGTGTGTAACACTATCATTTCCGGGCGATATTTCAAGAGGATTTTGAGCTTATGCAATGTAATTTTATACCAAAACTCCCTAGGACGTCTCTTGCCCCTCTCAAAGTGCCCCGCCCCATTTGTTTTATTAGTATTTATAGTATTGCATGTCGCTATTTTTAGCGCAGGGGCATGAGGAGAGTTATTGCGTGTAAAACAGGTTCTCGGCGGACTTTATGTTCTTATTACATCTATTATAACTGTTTAATAAAGGCTAAATAAATCAAACACCATGGATTGTGTAAAATTTTGAGAATACCGAAAATGAAAACATGAATATATACATGTATGCGACTTTAGTTCTGCATACACTTCTCTCCGGGTAAAGCGACTCCGTGGTCTAGTGGTTATGTCCCTCGCTTCAAATTTGAGAGGTACCAGGATCGAATCTCGGTCGACCCTTTCTTTTTTTTTTTTTAAATACTTTTTTTTTTTTACTAAATGATAGTATTCAGCATGTGAAATGAAAAATTTATGAGGTTATAAAATCATCATTACAGTGTGATAAATATTCCATATAAAAAAATCTTCTATACACATAATAAAGAATAAGCAATCAAATCTTTATATGCATATTGACATACATGTATTTTATTTCCTTCAGTATACATGTATACATTTAATAATTCCTCAAATTCAGTCAGGGGGAGCCGACTTTTTCCCTAAGCGGGGGACACGAATTCTCTGAATTAGCTTGTTATTTATTGAAAATGCAACATTGCGTATTAAGTATATGTACTTTAATGTCTTTTGTGCAGGTGATAAGATTTATATCTGCGGTGGTGCCTGTACAGCCCTAGGTCATATGCTGTATTCCATGGAGGTGTATGATACTGTCTCCGAAAAATGGGAAAGATCCGCGCCCGATTGTCCGATCCCGGGAAGATTTCTTTCATTAGTCTCGGTCCCACCCAACGGAAATTAGAAAACGGAAATGATATTTTCACCCTATAGAATTAAATGCAGAAAAAATTGTTGAGATTTTTATATAACTCAGGGAAAAGTTGTAGCACGGAATATTTGAAAGCCAAATGATTGTACTTATAAGTGAATGTATCATTGTATAAAGACAATATTTATGAAAACTGTATAGATTTTAAAGCAATAAATGCAAGAAAGCAAATTTAATGTGTGTTATTTGTTTGCCTTTCAAAGAAGAGATGTAGAACGCAGGTGCATTTCTACAGAAAAATGGAATTTTATTCAAGGTTATTTTGGGCCTAAGTAATATCCGGAAAAAAAATGTTTGACGTAAAATGTCAATCAATTCGACAGGTGGAAAATATACGAGCATTCGCCATTATCCTTTCAGAGAAGAAAAATTAATAGCCTAAAAAAACAAACAAGATTTTGCGATAGGAATTGGTTGGCGATGCTGTAAATGGCGTGGTTCAATATGGAATCTATAAACAATAGGACTCGATGTAAAAGTGTCTAAAAATCAATTGTCACGGTCAAAAAGACGGACTGCATGATCAATGCTAAATAGAAGTGGTATTAAAATTGTTAAAGACCATTATTGGACTCTTATTTGCAAAAGTCCCAAAACATTCAAAACCAATATTCAAATTTATAAGCACGAGGGAAAAAAGTTAAAATCCGTTTTATGGGCAAATCCTTGAGAAGCTTAACAAAAGAATAAATGATAATGAGGAAAATAAATATTTACAGAACTTTAAATTGACTTGGATATATTGATGAATTAAAGTATGTCAGTTGACTGATAAAAAAAGATTTTAAATATTTTAGAGGGAATTTATTTGCTTATTATTTGCTATAGAAAGACCTGGTTCATTGTATTTACATTGGATCTCGCCTGAAATGGATTGTAATAAAAGATAAAATCCTTTTACTTTCGATTGACATTCAAATGTACCGTTAACAATAAAGACATTGCCTTTATATATATAATTCAATTATCGGGAACCGAATTGCATTAACTTTCATCAATGTTCACAATTGCCCGTTCAAATGGCACAGAGTACCCAAGTAAAGTTTTGAATATTTTACTGGAAGTTGTGACATATTGGAAACAATTTAAAACGATATTTTGTAATACTGAGTGGCAGAGTGTTTCGTTTTACGTCAAAAACGGATTGAAATGATATTTTATGTGCATGAAAGCAAAAGTGGTTTTTCTTGCAGTGAACATCGGGAGCAACACGGAAAAGGGTACCGAGTATAATAGTGGTTGTGCTAATGTGTAATTGTTCTCGCATCCACCTAACTCGAGGCGCACTAAATTTGAATCGAAATTTCATTTAAAAATACATGTTCTTAGAATAATACCGGTATGCCAGTTTAGGTTGCGACATCTGTGACTTTATTTAAAGTGAACTGTTTGGTATTTCATTTCTTATTCATCTGTGACTTTGTTGAAAGTGAACTGTCCTAAACTTTTATTCCTTATTCAATTGTGCCTTTTATTGAAAGTGAACTGTCCTATGTTTTTATTCCCCAGATTTCAGGAGGTGAAGAATATTAATTCTGTATTATCTCCTACCAATATACCTTGGCTATGATCAAATGAAAATCAAACAACATCAATGCCAATTAAGCTGAGTGAATTAATAAAAATAATTAACATGTTTGTGTAAACAAGACAGAAGATTAAAATCTTGATTTATTTAATAAGATTGCAGCAGGGTGCAATAGCGACAAAGCTGGATTAAACCACGACAATTGTGCAGTACGGGGGAGATTTAACATTTTACATGAGAAGATTCTTAAGATATTTTATTTACCTTAGATTTGTGTGGTGCGACGACAATAGATACATTTAACAGCGTTAAAACGCATACCACAAAGTTACAAATGACACTGCAGAAGCTCAGAGATCTTCAAACGATTGCGGTATTAGTTCGATTGGAGATAACAAGGGTCGTATCATAGGCACTCGACTTTTTTGAATTCTTATTTGGCATTAAATCAGCTGATATCATCTGTGTGTTGATCATAATCAATTAATTAGACCTTGTTACTATCTGGAACAATTCTGTGAAGATAGAGCTGCTACAGAGGCAAAATGTAAGTTATTGCATCGTTTGCCTTTTGAGACATCCCCCGATAAGGTCACTAAAGATCGAAGTTATCTAATTACAGGTTTGCGCAATGAATCGAGACTTTTTTCTTCCACATAAATTATTTTACAACAGAAAACCTAGCTTAGCACAAGCGTGTTATCCGGGAGTTCGCAATGCCGTAGAAGACGAAGTAGATGACGAATTTTTAGACGATGGAGATTATAAAATTCTGGGCGTGAAACAGGAACTAGTGCCGAATAAATCGGAAGAAGGGAAAGAGGATACTTCCGCCAAAGAAGAAGGCGCGCATGCTGGAATGTCACGCGACACCGATTCACGAAGCAGCCGAGGTTTCAACCGAAGATTAGATGTGTCATCACGTGTTCAAAGTCGGGAGTCCCTATATGCCCCCTCCCTGTCCTCACCACGGCCTGATCAACAGTTTGATCCGCGCCGTTCCCGTGTCGCATCATCAGGTCCCTCCACAAAGTGGCCAGTATCTTTGGAACTCGCAGGAAGAAAGATTCAGGATCAAAATGAGAAGGTTTTATCCCAAGACAACGAAACAAAGGCGCAAGAGAAAGTTGCGCCCACAGACCCAGTTGCGGAGCTGAACGGAAAAACTGACGAACTGAACAGGATTCTTAGTGCTTCACAACATGGACTTCTATCTTATTTACCGCCTCTCTCGCAATCCTTAATGAGACAAACTGCCACGCCATCTAAAAATAAAAAGATGTCATTTTCTCCGACATTTTACGCAGATTACGGACTCCGAACTGAGAAAACGGACTCTTTTCCTGGACTTTTGTATCGAAGAAAACGAGAGAGGAGTAATCTAGAAATTGTGAAACAAGTGGAAAAGAAAGCTAACCGACACATTTACGCTTGTCAGGTCCTTGGCAGTTCTAAACGAGGAAGCAAAGCTGCTCAAAGCGTCAACACTTTGAAGCAGACGGTCGGACCCAAACAGATATCGACCTCGGATTTACCAACGAAATATGTTCGAGAAAACTTACTAAACCATTCCCCGGAAAGACAAGCTTCTTTTGTGGATGTGTCAAAACGAGCGCCATTTTCACTTTTCATTCGAACACGTGAATCTCCTGATTTTTCGCGGGCTCCACGTCATAAAACGGCGCCATTACCAGAAATTAATGGACGGACTCTAATTTTAGGATTTGATGCGAAAGACTGAATTACTTGGATACATCCCTGATATAAAATACCACTTATATCAAAGTGTAAGATAAAATACCACTTATATAAAAAAAGTGTTATTTTTGTGAAGGAATAATATTTATGTAATTCAAATTCAAGCAGTATGCAGAGTAGGACTGATCGAGTTATTGAGAAACATGACTTTTAAAAACACAGTCCAGAGTTAGTTAATTCTCAAGTTAAGATCTGATGTGATAAACTGTATATTAAAAGATCAAAGATATTGAAGATTGTATACAAAATGTATTGATTTCAATCTTTAAACATGTACGAGTAAAATGTTGTTAGAATTATATGTTTTGGGCTAATGAACATAATGTGCATTGTTAAAGTATATTCAAAGAATTGTGAGGTTTTATAAATAACATATATTTTTGAGTTCTTTGTGGGCATTTTCTGTAAAGTAGGTAAATAATGGCTATTCTGTGATTCCGGAACAATCATAGCGATATTGTGTAATACCAGTACATCTAGCTCAAACTGCAATCTATTGTGCATCTCTTTGTATTAGTATAACATTTGTATATAGATATATGAATGGTCTGTAAATGGCCTTTCATAAGTAAAATCGACCACATGCAAGGATCCTGTCCAAGGGACTCGAACTACACTGATTTCATACAAAGTGTTATTTGTTCAATTTAACAATTTTTCTGTTTCCCTTTTCACGAACTGGGTAAACTTCAGTTATACAAATTAAAATTTAAATGATCTACAGACGTGTTTTAATGGTCTTTATTCAGACAGGAATTAGAGCCCTAACGCATTTAAATCTATGGATTATGGTAAATTGAACTGATGAATAGCAGACAGATATAATATAGAATTTAATACCCATGTAAGTCCTCTATAAGCATGTGTCCGTTTCTGTCCCCAGAATTACCTTAGGGTACTGGTAAATCAGAATCGCTATCAATCTGCGCAATTATAAGCCTTTAAACGAAATAGTTAACGAATTACAGTTAATAAATTTAAATCTGTCACTAAATATTCTTGTATAAACTTGATTACAACGTTTGGCACCTTGAGGTAGTCATGGTTGATTTGTTAATGCATGGTATTGCTTCATCTCTTTAATAATCTTTATTATGGAATTAAGATACATCTTATTTTAAATACTGAACATCAACTATTTAAACTGGATACATCAAGTGCAATAAAATTCTGTATCGTTTTCTTTTTTATTTATATAGTAAACATTCTTGCTACATCTGTTCAGTGTTTAATTTAACTTTCTTTTTTAATTTATAACATCGCCGTTACATCGGATCTATAGGTTCATATACGTGTAACATCGTGATGTCTTTATATTAATTTCAAACCATTTTGCATTAACAAGTTTAGAAAGCTTTTGGAAACATTTCTATTCTCTCTCTCTCTGAGATCATTTATATGTTGAAGACAGACCCGTAGCAACGTTTCAAAAAGGAGTACATTGTACTTTTAAAACAAAATGACAAGCAAAGAAAAAAAAGGAAAAACCATCAGAGGGGGGGGGGGGGGGCAACTTCCCAAAATAATAATAGCAAAATTCCTTACTCTGGAAAAACAAGAATGCTTCCACCCCCTACATCTGGAGACCTTTTGGATCAAGAGGATTGATTTTGATGTTTAATTATGGATTGAGTATAGTTTTCAATGGTTGTCATGGATTAAGTAGCTGAAACAGTAATCATTTACATCAACTTCCCTCTTCCAGGTTGAAGACACAGTCCAACTGAATTTCAGATACTAGTATTGAGGTGTTTTTACATAAGGATTATATATGTCCACATAATGGTATAATGTAATTTGGGTGTTTATTTACACGACCATGCCACATAAATGTAAATACATTATGTTTACTGTTATAAGGATAAGCAAATAAATGTTGACCTAAAATGC